TTTTACCCATTATTCGCCATTTTCTCAATCTGAAAAAATAATTTCTTGTATGTAGGACCCTCTAAAATATGGAAAAACACCTTGAAAAAATAATATAATGGAAAATAATCGGAAGGAAAAAAAAAAGAAATTTTTTTCAAAAGTTGATAAAGATGGGATACGAGCCTGCGCCCCGTCGCCCTAGCCGTCAGTCACTAGTCCCGTGTCCTGACCGCCATTCCACTAGAATACGAGAAGGCTGCCGCAATTTCTCTTCAAAAGTCCTCTTTCTGTCAGCCATTCAATTGAACTTTGAGGGGCCCCCTGCTCCCCCTAATTCACCTGTAAAAATTTCCTGCAGTAGATAAGTTTGAACCGTAGACCACTACTCAGGGTTCGAGTTTGAAAATTATAACTTAATATTAAAGGGAGTTAGACGACTTCGAAATTCGAGTCCCTACTCGCCATTTTATTTTATTTATTTATTTTTTATTATTATTCCATTATGCGTTCTTTAACAAGGAAAGATGCACAATTTTACTCATAGAACACCTTACGCATAATAAACTGTCGAATATATTGCCAATTTTCCTGGATTTTTCCTGTTTTTACCCTTTATTCGCCATTTTCTCTATTTAAAAAAAGTATTTCCTACATGTAAAACCCTCTAAAATGTGGAAAAACACCTTGAAAAAATAATATAATGCAAAATAATCGGAAGAAGAAAAAAAAGAAATTTTTTGAAAAGTTGCTCAGAGTTTGCTTTACATTTCTGAGAGTTCCCATTCGCGAATTTTTCTCATACAGTGAGAATGTCGTTTAGTTTCAACAACGGATGAGCTTGTTGCTCTGCCTTTATAAACTGAGTACTTCCATTGAAAGGTTAGTAACATTTGCAGAAATAGGCAACCGGATCCTTTACACAATTTTGAAATCAGTTCGTAAACAACAAATGTTTGTGATGAACATTTCACTAAGCATTCCTTAATTATTTAATGAAAATAGATTGAAATATTCCAGTATGTGCGTCAGCATTAGTTAAAGTCAAATAAGAATGGTGTAAGTTCTTTTTTTTTTATTTCTGATAGTAATAAGTGAATAACGTGTTCTTAATCTTTCAACATAGGAATTATTTATGTAAAAGCTCAGCTATTTTGCATTGCACATTTAAATGTAACTAATATTTTTCGAAGAAAATTTTGTGTAACATTTTTTTACCTTTGGGCCGTGGAAATTTAGCAAACCTAGTGCCTTTAGTATCTTTATAATTATACAAGTTCAATGAGTCTAAATTACTTTAATAACCGTTTTTCTATAATCTTTTTAATTCCTTTTTTTTCTCCCTTTTTAAAATTGGTTAACCGTAGTTTTTGCAACCCTATTAAACTTTTATTACCGTAAACACTTATTGCAGTAAGTTTATTTTACCTTGCTGTATCAAGTAGCTCATTATGGGAAGATTTCTGTATCGTGATCTATAGCTGAATAAATGCCAAGTTTTGGCAGCTGTCATGCAGTGGCCCTTGCGAAACTAAAAAAAAATAGCATAAAAGGTAATAATACTGAAAGGATATTACTCATAGCCATCCTCAGACAAATTTCTACTTGTTTTATTTATTTTTTTTAGTTTCCAAATTTAAAATAATTTTGCTACCTTATAGTCAGATCAGGATGCGGAAATATTCCCCTCATTATTACTAAGTAGAAACGTAACTAATAATTGTAAATAAAATTCTGCTTTCATAGTTAATCTGTGTGAAAATATTACACAATTGTTGAACCTTATGTGAGGTTAAATTAATCAAAGGTAACCAAGTTCATGGCTGTTGGAGTATAACTACTGTTACTTTTCGCTTCACTGGGCGCAAGCGAATAGTCACTAAAAATGTATGCATGTGCTTGTCTTAGTTGTTATCATGTGTTTGTGAGAATATGTACTAAAATCCTAATAAATATTGACCAGATCTGAAAGCATGTAAGAGGCAAAAATTAAATCCCCAGTTCCTAAAGCAATATGAGTTTGTAGTTATATATTGTTTTGATTTTGGCTTATAAATCTCAAAATAACTGAAACTCTACTTTTTTAAAAAGGTATCTAGTATAAAATCTAAGTAAATATGTGCACTACATATAAACACAATAAGGCAAACTCATGTTATCTCATTCGCTTTTGTTTGGACCAGAGGGGTCATTATATTGAGCATCAACTGTATTTATATTATTTTATAGAATATAACTCAGCTAGAGACTGAAGCTTTAAGTGAAAACTCTAATATAACATTTCATGTTCTTATAAAACAGAATAATCTCTGTTTCTAATACATGTTTACTAATTTTGCTTATGAATAATTGCAGTTCTTACAATTTATGCAAATTCGTAAAAATATTAAAATTTTTTTTATAGAATTGTTAAAATTGGAGGTGAATTTTATCATTGAATAGCTTTTTCTGGAGTCCTTAAGTATGGCATGGATACCAGTAATGAATGTATCTGTATCAGCACCCATTAATGATCCTGTTGCTGTTATGAATACTTACCGCTCATATGTATCAATGCTCAAAGTTCCTGTTGCAAAAAAGTTTAATAATTAGTCATTGGGAATTAAAAAATCAGAATTTATTTTCACTTGAAAATTTCTCATAGCAATTTAGTATTTGAGATTACATAGATATTATATTTTGTACTAAGGATGTACCTAATGAATAACTATATACTTATGGCTCATGTTACTTTGTTGGTAATGTTTACAATTCTCATACATTGATATTCACAAAAAATAAAATAACCAAAGTAATATACTTATAAATAAATCTTACTTATCTACTTAAATCATACTTACTTAAAGATAACTATATACCTATAAATAAATCATTGTATTTATCTGCACCTGATCAAAAATCATACTTAAATATTCTTACTTCTCATTTTTAATTTAATCAAATCCACATGTCTTTTTAAAGCAAAACCTTGATCAAATATATTTTATGCATTTATTGTAGTAACCTGTAATTATAATTTATTTTATTTTTTATTTATTTATCTGTCATTGATTCACTTTTCCTATTGATTTTTATATTGCATAACTTTAATTTTCTCTTTTCTTTTATAGAGGATGAAAGTAAATTAAAAGCTTTGCCAGAATTGAGTGGAGAGCTTGAAGTAAGGGTGAAATTTAATGTAGTAAAATGCTATATTCAGAATGTCATTGTATGGGAAATTCGAAATTTATATTTTCAGTTTCAGAAATGACAGTTATTTTTTCATAATTTCGCAGATTATATATGCCACAATTAAAGTCATTGTGCCGTTAAGCCCAGCATTCAATTCAATTTTGACTACTGAATTACAGGAACCTTTTTAAACCCCTCCCCATTTTCTAGATATTTAAATTTGCCTCTTTTTTGGTTTCATTTTTCACTTTTTTTTTCTTTTACATTAAATGCAATAGGCAGTTTAGTTTCCCATTTATTGATAAATTTATTTATTTAGAAATTAATGTTTTAGCACCAATTGTATGAAGATCATTGAATTTAATTGAATGGCAAATAAGAATTTAAATTCTTAGAATTAAGGAGCATTCAAGTGATATGTTTAGCTCAAAAGCTTTTTAAAAACTGTTTAAGCAAGCTGAGACATAAAAACACTATTTATCCTCCCTCCTATTTTAGTATTAATAGACTATTAATGATAAACATGTTATTAGTTTTATTACTCTAATGAAGAAATTTTTTATTTTTATTTTGACACATTACAGTTTGAATTTGAAACCTAAAGACTAGAGGCAGACCATTGAAATTAAGCGTACAATGTTTATAAAAATATTTTTTTAAATAAAAATAAAAGAATTTGAATAGATGTTTAACTAACAATAATAAAAAGAATATTTTAGTAAAATATTTGTGTTTTAATTTTGTAATAAAAGTATCCTTTTATTTTTTCAGACTATTGTTAGTGATCCACAATATCCTTCATTTTTGGATCAGGCTATAAAAATTTTCATCAGAATTTTAGGAGATGAAGAACCACAGTTCATTGCTGAAAAAACCACCCATGTATGTATTTTCATGTCATGCCAATGGATCATTTTGTATATTTTAATGTACGTATTTTTCTATATATCCTGTATTATTTTTTATGAAGGTAGCCAATCTAAATTTTTTTCCTTTACTCTTTTATATATTTTTTTTATTCATACGTTGTCAATTATTTAGTTTACATAACTGATGAACTTAATGAACACAGTCAATAGTCATTGATATGGGTTTAAGATAACAAAATTTGAACAGTATTTAAAAAAATAATCCCATTGTTGCGAATGTCTGTAGGTTATGTAGTGTGTGTATGAAATCAACCTCATTTTAATGTCTTGGCAGAATAATCAAGTTTTCTCTATTTGCGCTTGATCTCAGTTTGTTTTTAAATTTAAGACTGCTGTTTTTAAAAATTAGATTAAATCAGGGTTAGTAATTGTCCTGATGATCCTGATATAAAGTATATTATCCGTATTTGTCCTCAATTTTATGTGTGTATTGAATATTCGATTTTCCAGGAATGATAATGCAAATTTTTGAGAAAGTAGATTTAAAGAATTGAAAAATTTTGATCCAATATCCTTTTTCTTTCTTCTTTAAATGCTTGTCAAAATCGCAATATTTGATAGTTCCAGTATAGGGACTGTCTATTGATTATTTATATGGTTTAGAGTCTTACCCAGAAGATTCATTGTTTCAACCTCTTTGGGAATTAAGTTATTCAATGGAAAGGAAAATTGATAAGCAATTTTGCAACATCAAATTTTTATGATGGCGATTTCAAGGGTGATATGCTTACTTATTATTTTCACCAAATACAATAAAAAATCTTGTAAGATTTCCCAGTTGCACAAATATTGATTGTTTTCTTTCATGTGATTTCAGTCAACAAGCAGTTATAAAACTTTTAAATGATAAATTAGGGGATTGCTTACTAAAATTAGTGTTCTACGTAAATGTTAAGCGGCATATTCATTGCATTTTTGTTTTGAGATCATTGAAACCCTACTTTAAAGAGATTAAAGAAATCTTCAACTCAATTACACATTTGAATTATATATTGGTATGAGTAAAATATTGATGAATTCATACTGTTCATTTTTTTAATGCAACAGTCTTATAAAATTATAATATGCTAATTAAAATTAAATTTATCTCTCCAAGGTAATGCTAGTACAAAAATTATGCAAAGTAAAGTTTATTTGGTAAAAATTTTGAATAGCTGAAAATATTTTTTGAAAACTGAAAATTTTCTTCTCTAGCATTTTTATTTACTTCTCTACATTTTATAATACTAATAAATAAAAGATTAAGAGTTTGTATTTCTTTCATATTGTGGGAAAAGAGTGACGCTTTTTGTTACAGAATTCAAAGTGAAAATAAAATTTGACTTACTGCGCTTCATCTCAAAACCAAATTTTTTAGTTTAAATACTTGATGAATTTTAAATTTTTTTTTTATTTCTTCAGAAATTACCTTATTACATTAGATTGATGTTTACATCTGAACAGATTAGTTAATAAAAGGTTGCTATTTATTAACTTGCTTTCATAAAAACTTAAAGAGAAATTAAGCAGATATTTTTCTCAACATATATTTCCTCTATATATTTAATGTTAGAATTTTATGACTTCTCCTATACTGACTTTGTTGATGCTTTATTTTTATTCAAATATTCATATTTTAGGTGGAAAATGAGGAAAACATATAAGTAGTTTTAAGAATAATAATAGAGTTTCATGAGACCTTCAGGCCACCATGCAGCTTCGAAGTAAGAATGTGTTATTTATATGATTTATCATTTTCAATGAATATGTTTTTGTATTAATATATTTCTCACATGTACAGATTCATTGAAAACTATTTTATTAATCAACTTTTGTAAATTTTTGCATTACATGAGTGGAATGTGTTTCTATAGGTTTTTAAACTCGCATTTTCATGGGAAAAAAGAATATTGACTTGAGTGGATGTCATTTAATGTATCTTATAAGAGATTTTAGATTTTTAACTTGTTTGATTAATTAGTTATTTTGCACTTAAAAGTTCAAAAAGATATTAATATAGGCTTCCATTATAATGACAAATGCTTCTATGAATAATTCTTGATAAAATGAGAGAAGGAAAAAAAGGAGGATAATAATTCTGCTATGAATCAATTTATAAATAAGGTTTATAAGCCATAATTTGCAATATAAATGTCAATGATCACAAGGAGTTAGCTCATTTTAAATTCTCTGTACAGAAATTTCTTTGCAAATTGTTCCTAAAGTTTTCTTGTTTTAATTTCTTAAGGTTTTTAATGTACATTGCTTAAAAGAATTCCATATTTTTTGCTTTTATTTAAGGAAAAATTCTGAGGAATATCGATGATTATTGTTTTTCCAATCCAAATTGCTATGATCCTTAAATATGTTTTTTTTTTTGAATAATAATGAGTCTTAGTCACAATTTTTTTTTTTAAATATTATAAAATGCTATTTTTGCTCTAAATTTAAATGAAAGTCATAATGAAAAAAATGAATATATTGTGGGCTCTTTTTAATCTTAGTGTGACTAACTCAAAATATTAGGGATGTAAAATATCAATGATTCCCCCACAACACAACAGGAAGATTGAACTTTGAATTATTTTTACTTTTTTGATTATTTTAAAGTCCAGTGTGAAAGAAACCTTTAAAATTTTCATGATTTATTAAGTAGAGAAAAATAAATTAAAAAAAGAATTATGGAGAAATATAGAAATTTTCTCCATTCAGTGTTTATAAGTTTCTCCATTCGTTGGTAATTTGTTCTAAATAAATCTTTTTAAAGTAATTAAAACCTCTTTTTTTTTAAATTTTTTTATTTCCATGGTTTGAATACTTTTTTTTATTCACTTATTTTATATTATTTGTTTTGGTACTCTTCACCTGCATGGCCTGTTAAACTTCAATATACCAAAACATCAAGCATCTTAAAATAAAACTTAAGTGAGTGGGAAATCTAAAGGTTGCATGCAGTGATGTGAAAATAATGATATATTTAAAATATATTCTAAATATATTCTAAATTAGAAAAAAATAAATAAGCTTTTGTGATTTTCCAATTATTTTTAGATACAGATGTTTCTGCTTTATGTAAAGAATATTTACAAAGTTCTGCCTAATTACTTGCATCTTATGTTTGAACCACGGCCTACTCCAAAAGTAAAAAATTTATCAGCACCTACGTTGGAACTGTTATTGAAAGAAACATTTACCATAACACTGATTCAAATTGAGAAAAGTTAAAAAGGGGGCCCAAATTCAACTACTCAGGTGGTGAGTAAAATTAATTTTAGCGTCTGTGAATCTGTTTTTATTAGTTATTAAAATAATTATTAGTTCATATAATATGAAAATTTCAAGTCTTGTGTTTAAAAGCCTTTTTAAATGCATGTAGATAAGATTAGAAGTATTTTTTCTCTTTCATTTCCTGAGTAAGCAATAAAAATAGTTATTTGGCTAAACCATTATAAAATTTTCGTAGCCTTGGTAATATTTAAAAATTAACTTATTCACAAGTATGAAAGGGTTTCCATTCCTAAAAAAGCCTTAAATTTAAATATGGTTTTAGGAGCCCATTAAAAGGTCAGTTTTTCTTTCTAAACCTTCTTAAAGCTCATTCATATTTTAATTTTGAAGACTTCAATTGCATTTTATAATTGTTTTCATTATTATTCTTGATGCTATTGAATTTAAAAATGATATTCAAGTAAAATTAAAAAAGTTATGAAGTAACTTAATTTAAAAATTTAATGTGAGGAGCATTTTTTTCGTAATTTAATTTTAAAATGTGCTTGGAATCTTTTTTCTTGCTTAATTTATTCGAACTTCAGGTCACTTTTTAGTGGTATTTACTTTAACATCTCTTGAAATAAAAATTCATGTATGCATGCTTTCAATCTGTATAAGCCTTCAAAGTTAAGGAAAAATTTTACTGTTATTATAATAGAGGTGCACTACCTTTTGAAGTGAAGGGCCACATGCACAGCAAATTGACCTATGAAGGGTTGCATGCCGAAGAATTTAGACAGGCATGTTAACAGCAGTTATAGGTAGTAATTGTTTTATAAACATCATTGCTCTCGGCACTAAATTCTTTTTATCAGGTTACCTTATAATATATTTGCTTAAAATTAAATAATTTTAAATGTTTAAAATTAAAAACTGATTACCCAGGGAAAAAAAACAATCAGAAAATCAGAATCAATTTATGAGAAAAGAGCAGATAAATAGAAAAATTTTTTTAGAAAAATGGGAAAATTCTTTTTTTTTTTTATCACATTTCATAATGCAAAAGTCCATTTAAACATTAAAATTTTAACGTTCATAGAATTAAATTAAAAATAAATCAATAAATATTCTAGTCAATAAAACAAATGCAGGTTAAATTCTTTTGTTTATAGAGAGTTTGTAGGGTTAATAATGATTAAAATTAAAACAAAACCCTTTCAGTGCAAAATAAGATTCAGCATTTAGTAGGGAATATACTCCAACTTTAAAACATTAATTTTAAATAAATTACAAGAGCAGGGGCTGGAAGAGAAAAGAGAAAGTAAACATTAATTTTGATCTTAAAAATCTATTTTTTAATTATTATTAATTAGTATCAATTTAATCTATGGATTTATCAACTTAATTACATGAACTTACAGAGCTACCTATGATTGTAATTATACTAACTTGTAATTATACTATTTTAGAATAATTAGATACAATACAAACCTTAGAAATTAAAATTTTTATTTAAGAGTTTTAATCCTTTGTTCGATGTCCTATCCCACAGTTTTGAATTACATCAACTTATTTAGCTTTTTTTGTTGCATTTTTAATACAAAGTTTTTATGAGTAAACTTTTTCTAAATTAAGCTGAAGATATTTTAATTTTAATGATAACAATATTATAATAATATTTTAATTTTTAGGAAAATTAAAGTATTGTTTAGAAAGTCAGGCATTGTTAATCTTTCACAGTATAAATATTAAATTAAATAAATGTGAAAGATTTACATACAGTTTCTTTTGACTACAGATTGCATAAAAACATACATTGTGTGGTATTTACATTTATGATATTTTATAATTTTTTTTAAAACATGCAGCTGACTGATCTTTAATTACATATTCAAGCTAAAAAAAAAAGGAAGTTAAATTTAGAATTTGGAAAATTACTTTTCAAGCTACGTTTTTATTATGTTTCAATTTGAAAGACTTACAAAAATTGAAAAATAACCTTGTTAAGTCATTGAAAAGACACTGTATTAGTGTAATATTTATTTAACTTACAGCATTACCTGTGTCCTTTTACATTGGGTTAGTTCTCTGCCTTGGAGATTTTGGAACTTGCTCTTAGGTATTCTAGCTATATAATTCAAAAACAGAATTTTGTTTGAGATAAAGAGTAGAGTTATTACATTTTTTTTATTAACAAACAATTTTCTATTGAATTAAAATATTTTAAAAATAAATTAAATTTTTTATGCAAGTATTTTCAATGGTACACAGACAGTTTTTTATTGTATCCTTTTTAAGAAAATAAAAATTCGTATGAAACTTAGAGTTTGAAAATTTGATTGATGCATTTTAAACAGAAGGATCAATCAGTAAGAATGTTCCTTAGGTTTCCAAAAATCGTGATTTGTATTTTTTAAAATTTTGACTGATTTTCTTGTTTATTTTTCTTGATAGAATTGTTTAAAATATTGTTAAAAAATTATTAGATTAAGAAAAATGATGTCACGGGAAAAATATGAACTGCATCATTCAAAAAATAAACTTTCAAATTATTGTTTACTTTTCAGAAACCGAAGGGACTTTGAGCAAGCTCCAAAAGCTCCCTGTCCCTGAACTCACCCATTCTTTTATAAATGTCATACTTTGTTGCTTTTAATACATAATGAAGGCAAAACAATTTATTGTATGTATAAAGTTGAACTGGTAGTTCTCTTAACCAAATCATTGCTTAAAAGANCCTTAGGTTTCCAAAAATCGTGATTTGTATTTCATTATTTTTTAAAATTTTGACTGTTTTTCTTGTTGCTTGTTTTTCTTGATAGAATTGTTTAAAATATTGTTAAAAAAATTATTAGATTAAGAAAAATGATGTCATGTGAAAAATATGAACTGGATCATTCAAAAACTAAACTTTCAAATTATTGTTTACTTTTTAGAAACCGAAGGGACTTTGAGCAAGCTCCAAAAGCTCCCTGTCCCTGAACTCACCCATTCTTTTATAAATGTCATACTTTGTTGCTTATAATACATAATGAAGGCAAAACAATTTATTGTATGTATGAAGTTGAACTGGTAGTTCTCTTAACCAAATTAATAGCATGGTTCTCCAGTTTTATGTGTGTTTAAAGAAAAATGTTAAACTGAAAATTACAAAATTACTTTCTTCTATACTTTCTAGCATTAAAAATTGTTACTTTGTGATTTCTTTTTTATATTGTTCATATATTTGATTTCTTTTACAGATTAATTTAATCCCAATAGCTACTATGTCCTTAAAAGCACTGGCAGAGCTACCTATAATTGTTGTCTTGATGTACCAGCTATATAAAATGAGTGTTCATAAAGATGTCGAAGAATTTGTGCCATTGATAATGACAACTAATACTTTACAACCCACAGCTCAACAGAGGTAACTTAATTTTTACATTACTCAAATATTTTTTGACCATAGAAAGTTTAATATTAGTGACTATACTTCAATGTTGAAATAGTCTATGAATTTAATAATTGTCTCTTTGTTTGCCAAATTACTCTTAGATGGTAATACATCTGTATAAGATAACTAAGAAATCTCTGGAAGTATTAAAAATGTTGCACTTTAGATTCCAGAAGTTGGAAGCAGTCTTCAGTTGATAATGTTCATAGTCAATATTTACATAACTTTTGATTTATCTAGCATTGATTCTCATATTTGCTATAAAATATTTGTTTTATTAAAATTTTCTTGTATCTAAATAAAAACTAATTTAAATTTAACAATGTGAAATATCACTAAAATATATAATTTTGATTAATTTCAGAACAGTCATGAAAAAATAATTTCTAATTTCAATAAAGTTTCGATTAATTTGCAACATGTCCTATATAAGATAACGATAAAGTATTCTCTTTGATAAAATACATCTGAATGTGGATATATAATTCTCTAATTCTTATTCTGTGTGGATCAAATCATCTAAACTTAGAATATAATTTTTTTTAAAAATATCTTACAACCAGCTCATAATTTAATCACGAGGTAGTTAGCCTGAGAAATATTTGTCAATATCACAAAAAATTTGATATTTTGTAATCTTTTTTAAAAATAAAAGCTTGTTAATCTTTTTTTAATTAAAACAAATGTTGTATCCAAATGAAATCAGATTTATTTTATTGGTCTCAGTTTTTATTCTTATCCTTGATTGAAGCTGGAATGTCTTTTCTTTTTCTTTGAAAAGGTTTGCAGCAAAAATATTGCAAAGTGTGAGTAAGTTTTTTTCTAAATATCTTAAAACAATGTTATATATTCAACTAAAAAAATAGTCTAAGGAATATTGATGATATCATGTATAACATATTTTATTACTTTGTTACACTTATTAAAAATAAAGCTTTCTTAATTGAAACAAACATGGAGTTCAATGTAACTTATTAAGTTGATAAGCCCACTAGGTATACTAAGACTATAATTAACACCACTCTTGTATCACCTTTTAATATACTGACCACTTCTCAAACTAGGCCATCAAATTGGTATATTACAAATGGTCAACTTGCATGATTTTTGCTGTAAAATCTAATTTATTGATTTTGATCTTGATTGTTGTTTTATCCTTGACTCCCTTGTTATTTTAATTTTATTTTTATAATGTTTACAGTCAAAATATAGCAGAAAATATAGAGAGAAACTTTTTAAATTAACTACTTGCATGTAGGATATACCTTAAATGTCTTTCTTTTTGACTTATTTTATATTTCATACCAAATGATCAAGTCAGAGTGGTTTTATACAATAAAACTCTTCAGTATTGTTTTTTACTTATTCAATTGTATTCTGTGAAAGAATTTTATGTTCAATGACTCTGTGGGACAAAGTTAAACATTAAATTTTATACATTTAATTTGTTCTTTGGGAAAAAAAGCAGACAAAATGCAGAATGTTTACAGAAATTTTATTTTTTGTTTTGTTTTATTTTAGGAGCAATCCATCTCTCAACAAAGAAGTTTATGTTGACTTTATGCCTGCACAGATAAAAACATTATCTTTTCTGGCTTACCTAGTTAGAATATATCAAGTGAGTGATTTAATGACTAATATATTAAGAATCATTCTTTATTTTTTTAATAAATTTTTTTTATCCTGTATTTTTAAGGAAATCCCTTTGCTGCTTAGAAGTACTCTAATGTGGTATAACAATGTTGAGCACACTGCTAACAAATTTTAAATAAAGAAAAATGTGACAAAATTTTGTAAGGCTTTTGTTTACAACAGTGAAAAACATTTCTTTTTCTTGTTTGAATGATTAGAATTTTCTATATTCTCAAGTTCTGAATACATATAAATAAGAAATTTCTATCTGTTCTCTATGAACAAAGTTTCTGGTGTTAATTGTATTTTGTGTTGAAATTGAAGGGCAAAAGTTTAAAAAATCAACTCTATCAAGGGTTTTATTATATTCAGATAAATGGAGGTTTTTAAATATCCTAGTGCTTTCTTCCTATGCTTTTCTCAGACATAGTTTCTAGCTCTGTTTAATTTTGATATTTAGTGTTCACAATATTGTAAGATTTTAACCTGAGTTGAATGCTCAATCAATAGCAATAGTTTGATGCTCGATCAATGAGTCAAAAACTGTGAATTTCACCTCCAAATCTTATGACCCTTAAAGTTTAAAAAGTAAAACCTTTAAACTTGATTTATATGTAACTATTTCATTAAAAATCTTATTTAAAGGCAACACATAAGTTTAATTGAATTTTAGTCTAACAATTTGAGAGAAAGAATTTATAGTACATATCCTTATTTTACTTAGAAAATTATTTTCGTGAATTATTCTCATTTCATGGATGTTTGAACCCCCTTATCTTACATCCTGGTTACCAGTTCATTTATTTTGACACACTGTTGTTTATAATTAAAAAACATTTTTGTATTGCCTAAAGCTTTCAAAATATTCAGATATTGTCAATTTTTGGATCAGTTAAGTTATAATTATTATTATTGTAATTGTATTTTTTAAGTGCTAATTTTAAACAAATCAAAATTCTAGTTGATTTCTATAACAATGAATTAAATTGTTTTGTATTTCATTAAATTAAAATCTAAATTTTAAAAGAATTTCCTTAAAATTTTATTTGGTGTGCTTTAAAATTTATATATAATTTAAATTTTTTTTTGATAATATAAATATGTATGCTGTAGTGTTTTGAAAAAATTTATGCTTTACTTTAAGGAAAAGACATTAATGTAAGCAAAATAAATTTATTGTACTTAAAAAAACTTAAAATAAAATAATTAATAAAAAAATATCGATATGTATTGCTTAAAATAGAGGCTGTTTCAAACTATTGATAAAGTTTTATTTTTATGAAAAGTAATTTTAAATAAAATATTCATTTACTTATTTGAATCTTAAAATATAAGGTTATCATTTAATGTTAGTTAAGCAATTTTCATCCCAATGAATTTGCTACAAATGATTTAGTTTAAATGTAAAAAATTTAAAAAATGTCGTCCAACTGAAAAAAATATAGGAAAATGCAATGAAGTGTTTTAGCCTCATTTCACTCAATCTTGAAATTGTTTCTTATGTGTGTCAGATAAAGGACCAAATAATGATTTTGCTAATTAAATGATGAAATAAAATTTGATTACTGCACTTTTTAGCTCAAAAAAATTAAGGAGAAAAAAGATGGAAGTATTTTGAAACAAAGATAGAAAAATGGGTAATATAAATAATGTGTAGTACAGACAAAGTGCTGTTTATTATAGTACTTTTGAAAGATCTTTGGTATGATTGAATATATTGTTATCACTGTGTTCCTTGATACTTTTCAAAATATATATATTTCTCTCTTTTTTCTGAAATTTATTGCCATAGCTCTTCATCTGCCCTTAAGGCCAGTTGTGCCTTAAAGTGGCATTCTACACCAGTATGCATCGCTTTCAAGAAAAAAATAATTGACAAGCTTCAAATCTCTCTACTGGTAGACGGAAAGATTTCGAGCATTTTAATGATAAGCCCCATTTTCAAATTGTTTAAGAAAAACAATTTGAGAAAAATTGTTTAATTAAAAACACCATAAGTTGTAATCAATAAAAGGTTTCTTTGTGTCGATTTGAGCTTGGGAAGTGTCTGTCTGGGAACAATACTATTGAAAATTTGTTGAAATCACCTTTGGAAAAAGTGTCACTTATCACTATACTGTCTCAAAACCTGGTGAACATTTTTGGTTCATGATGTGTTTATTTTATACATACTGTAGCTCATTTGTAAACTGATGGTTACAACTGCATTTTGCCCCTCAAAAGCTCTCTCATTTTTATTGTTACTGAGGTATTATAGTACCAGAATACTGCATTAATCTTTCTGCCTTATTCCTATTTTTTTGGCAGATTTTATTTATAGCATTTTGATTTTTTCCCTATTTTCAATCTGTAATAGTGATTAAATTTGACTCAGTATAGCCAATTTAGATTATTATGCATTAAAATTCATAAGAAACAAAGTGTGTTTTCAGTAGTTTTTTGGGACTCTCTTATTTAACACAGCAGAGTTCAACTGTCTTTAATTCTCCTTTGTCATCATTTCTGTGATCAATATTACAGTTTTAAAAAGTTAACATGTAAAATAACTATAAATTTTAGCTAATCCTTCACAGAATATTTTTACAATTTGTTTCAATTTGTACAAATGCATTATGATAACATTTTTGACAAAAAATGAATAATATTTTCTAAGCTTCATGATAAAATCCATCTATAAATGTCTTCATTTATAGTATCTGAAATTTACAGCAATGGCTCAGTGGTCAAACGAATTGAGCTATAATTATGAAGAACTGGGTTTGGAACTTGGTGACAACTTGAGGCCCACACACAGCTGCTGATCTATGGTTCGAAGACTGTGTGGGATCGTAATGCAAAATTGTGTGTCATGCTTACCACATTATGCTTTTGGTCATAAAATTAAGGGACCTCCACTACCCATTGACCCATAATAGGTTGTTGCAGAAATTCTTTGATTTAACAATAAGTGTAGGGCATCTATTGTAGAATTTTTAATTATTACTTTGATTTTTGATTTCTTCATTAATTTGACATATATGTGTTTCTTAATTTCAATTATTGAATATTTCAAATGAAAAAAAAACTGTTTGTTATTGCACAAAAAAATTTTAATGCTCATATTATTTTTTTTTTCATTTTCAGTTCTGCTATGAAGGTTCATTAAAATGGAACTGTAAAGAAACTGTTACATAAAATTTAAAAAATGTCATAAGGAATACTGAAATCTGAGTTTACAAAGAACAGTTTTTAAAATAAAGTTTACATTTATAGTATGATATACTTTTTATATGTTTGCATTTTGAATGAACTGTAATATAATGCAATAAAAATAAACTGGGAAATTAATTACTCTTCGAGTTCATTTCTTTACAATGTTTGAAAACATATTAAAAAAAAAACATTTTTTTACTCTTTGCATATGGATATTTAATATGGTATTCTATATTTATAATACTTTAATATTCTATACCGTTATGTTAACCTTTGTATATTCAGATAAACTCAATCTTAAATTATAATTTATAAGATATACGTGTTCATGTCTGGAATTGAGTGTGTATGCGATTTATAAACAAAAAATGTTCCTGAAAACTTTTTACAGAGATTTATACCTAATGTTTTTTCCTTTCATTTGTTTTTTTTTTCCTTTATAATATTTTCTTAATCTATAGGATTTTATAATATTTTCTTTTTCAATGCATGCTTTTATCAATGTTTGAAATTTTTCATCGATTTTATTATACATAAATATAATAATAATTAATTTTATGTGTTGCATGTGATTTTTGCATCAGGCTGAAGATGAGAAAGTTACAAGTTTCCAGCTAATTAGCTTAAATTGTTTTTAAATTTTACTTCGATTATAAATGAAGTAAAAGCTTTTCCTCTTATTATACAAAAAAAAATATATCTTCCAAATCTGATTCAAGATTTTTCAGATTCAGAGGAATCAAGATTTTTCTGGTAGTTTTAACTAAATTTATACCTATTTGTTTTTGCTAATAACAATTTGTGTTAAAATGTAAGAAAAAATGCATTAAAATTTATATTGAAAACATTTATATAGATTACATATCATAATTTTTTTTTTNTACAAGTTTCCAGCTAATTAGCTTAAATTGTTTTTAAATTTAACTTGGATTATAAATGAAGTAAAAGCTTTTCCTCTTATTATACCAAAATTATTTTTATTATTTTATTACAAATTATTTTTAAAGGAAATTCATAGCTTACTCTTTATTCCCCCTTCATATTTAATGGAATTTCATTTCAAGCTTACTATTTTCCTTTTTTTTAAAAAAAAAAAAAGACAAGAAAAATACCTTTTGGTTCACTTTTTTTTCTATCCGTATCTGTTATTTGTATATGATTCTAAGCAAAAAATATTAAATATAGGTTTAAAAAATTTACCATTAAATTTAAATATGTATATGATATAATTAATGGTAATTCTGATATTGTCTAATTTGTATGACCTTAAAAAATTGTCCTGTAAATTCTTAAAAAGGCCTTAAATGTAAAAAGTGACTAAGAGTGGAAAAAATTTATATTATATAAAAATATTTTTTGATCTGAGGAAAAATATTATCCATCCTGAGAATGAGTCATGATATGTATACATTATTATTATTTATAGTATGTGTAGAGTTTGAAATTGTGTTAGTTACATTAATACTTTATGGCAAAGTTTTTTTTTATTGTAAGTTAATATATATTGTGAGAAATGATTTTTAACAACTTTTTAAATGAACTATATTATGATTGATAATAATTAAGCATTAATTTATTTTTCTCGATATTAAGTGAAAATAAAGTTTTCTCTTTAAACTTTGAAACAAGAAAAGCTTAAATATACTTTAGTTTCAATGAAAATACATCAAAAGTACGTTGTTAGAGTAAAGGAATTAACAATTTAATAAAAGTACCTTTAAAACTGAAATAATAAAGTAATCCAAATTTATATTGTAAAGCAATTCCAAATATGCCAATTGTGTAAATTTCTTGCAAGAAAACTTAGTATTCTTATAAGCCTTTAAGTTCTTTTAAATAAAATCAAAAGATATAATTACAAAAATGCCAGCTCTAAAGAAATTTTTTTAAGACTATTGTAGACATTTTTATTTTTCATTATAGTTTTCATACAGATGATTGTTTAATTTAAAAACTTTTTATGTATTCCTTAATTTACGAATTAACTGATTTGCCTTGACTTAAATATGACTTTTTTTTATTTTTGAAAGAAAAGAATCGCAATTTATTTTTTTTTTGAAATCTGCAAACAAATAATATTATTTTTTTTTATACAAAAAATACTTTATGATATTTGGTATTTTTATTTGGAAGTAAATGTGGAAAATGTAAAAATTCGAAATATTTAATAAAATAATATTGATTCGCACGGTCGTTCCATATAAATAAATATCTTTTTGAACAATTATATAGTTGAAGATTCAATTTTTAAAAATTATTTACATTATATTGTTATGTTCTAAATCAAGTTTTTTGATAAGTCTTCGAAAATATTTGAGAACAAAATGTTATATAAATGGTCAATAGATAGCGCAAATATATAGTAAAGACTGCAATGTTCAAGTTCACCCTGATACCCTTTAGGTGAAGTGATTCATCTTCCCCGTCTACATCTATGGGTTAAATGTCAGGAAACAAGTAATTACTAGCTCTAAGGGTTCGGGACTCGAGCCTCAGTCATGTTCAATATTTAAAAATTATATTTAATAAAAATAAATGTGCTTTTATATTTATTTTTAAATATTGTAACTTAAATAAAACATTCTTTTTCTTAACACTATAATTTTTTCTTTTTAAGCACGTACAATAGCAGTAAAATGGAGAAATTCTTGCAAATACACTGTACATATAAATGGACCCCTATCTCCCCTAAATATTAAACTATAATTTCGAAACTCGACCTGATATTATAGTATAATGTACTATACAGAAGACAAGGAAACTCTTGGATCAGTATACGCATAGGTATAATTTGTTTTGAGAGCATGGAGGACTTTGTGACTTGACAGATTCAACGTGCAACACGGGGAGTCTTCAACCGGCGGGGATCGAATCTACGACCTCTTGGACATAAGCCTAGTGCCCTACTAACCAGGCTATCCCGGCCTTTATATTAAACTACAATATTCAAATCTCTCCTACCAAGCTATCTCTCCTAATCTCTTCCTATGTACTTTTTTTTTTCATTTATTTGGACGTTAATCTAACTGGGGCACCCGAAGGTAGGGGCTCCTTATAATATTTAACTTATGCGCAATAAAATTTTGGGTCAAAAAATATATGAAGAATATTATTTGGATTGAATATTTGTCCACTGTAGAGCATTTTTAACCGAAAGTTTGGGGATCACCACGGATCGCCATCATTTTAGAGCCATGGTGGCTCGAGGGATAGAGCCTCAAAATGAGGTGAACTGATTTCGAATTCTAGCGATGGCTAACAGATACAGCACCCGGCTCGCATGAACCACAGTGCTGACGTAACCACAGTGCCTCATGGTAGACGAATCACGGGTTAGAGTGCCCTTGCCGTCATGCAAGCCGTATGAGGTTTTCGTGGTTTTCTCCACCATGGAAAGCAAATGCGGCTTAGTTTTATCGAAAATTCTTCCACGAAGGTAAACTTCTCTTAATTCTGGATACAGGAGTTTCCTTTTCTTCTGGATTGGGTTCAAAATTGCAAGACTACGGAGTTGAACATTATTAACCGTAAACCCAAAATTGTGTCGGCTGTACAACAACGTTTATAAAATAGAAGGCTCCCTGACAATCATATTGAATAAAGAAATTTTTGTATTAATAATTTTTCAAAATTCGACTTTTCATTTTTGTAAAATATATTATTAGAGATCAAAATACGAAAACTTAGTATTATTCGTTATTTCTATTTATTACCTGTTACCCAAGACCAAAGCACATCTTTAGAAGAGAGTGTTCTCGTCGCAGAAAGCAATTTCACGTGATTATTAGAGAGGAGCTCTTATAACTCAAACTTTTTTTTTACTACTAAAGGTCCGAGCAAAATATATCATTCAACGATAGTTCAAAATTTGAAAAAAGGTATGATCCTGGTTGGAATCTCAACGATGGCTGTTTCGTAAGAATTCAGTTCTTAGCTTGTGAAGTACTGACGTAAAATATCCTCAGTGGTAGCTAAATCATGGGTTAAAATTCCCTTGGCGTCACGCTAAACAGGAGAGGTATCCGTGGCTTTCTCCACCCTGTAACGCAAATGCAGATTAGTTCTATCAGTAAATTCTTCCACAAAGTTTAGTTCTTCCCAATGCTTAATCCAGGAGTTCCTTTGTCTCTGGGTTGGGATCAAAATTACAACTCTTCAGAATAGAGCGTTAACGGATGTAAACTTAAAAATGGATCATCTCTTCATAAACTAAAATAAAACTTCTATTATGAAACAATTTGTGTGAACTTTCATCAAAGTTTTTACCACTTTAAGAGTATCATTAATTTTCCTTCTTTAAGTTAAATTTCTTTTGGCATATGTTCTATAGTCATTTTTTTTAAAAGTTGAAATCGAATAATCAAATATAAAAAAAAGTAGAAATATTTAAATGGATACAAATAAAGATTTAAAACAACTTTTCATCCATCTGTCATTCTTTAAATGTGCAAAAAACGAAAAAGTTTCTTATTAGAATCCGCAAATAAATTGTTAAGCCGGTAATTAATGAAGCTGATTTTCAACCGAATGCGTCAAAAATCATGGAAAATACTTATCGCCGATATATTTGCTTTGAAAAATATTTCATGTAGAGATTATATATGAAGAACTGTCAAAAAAACAATAGTTTAATTTTGTACAGGTACAAATAACGTCAAAATTCAACTAACTAACCTTCGAGTTAATCGTGTTACTGGTTTAGATGATCTGCTTTTTGAAGAAAAGAGAAGGATTTTCATCTAAATTAGAAGCGGACAACCCTTTGCAGCAACAAGAGTATCTTGTTCTTTATTGGATAAAGCTTGATTTAATGAACCTGAATATTATTTTACAGGGCTATTGAAAAAGAAACATGAATATATCAACTACAAAAGGCAAATTTTGCATTGTTATCATTTTTAAATTTATCCAAATGCAACATAATAACATCGATTTCTGAATAATTTAATATTACATCCTGAATTTACCTGAAAGTGTTTTTCGCATAAAACATCTTTTAAAATCGGGCGTTAATTTCCCGGCGTTTCAAAAGCAGAGAAAGAAATTATTTTTGGTTTGAGGTATACCGATGTTACCGTGAAGAACCGAAATCAGGGACCGAGATAGCCTGGTTGGCAGGGCACTGGGCCCATGTCCAAGACCTCATGGGTATAAAAATTTCCTCCAGCAGAAATATTTGGACCATAGACCCCTACTTAGGGACCGAGTTTGAAAATTATAACTTAATAATGAGGGAAGTTAGACAGCTCCGAAATTCGAACCCCTTCCCGACATTTTATTTTATTTTTTTATTATTATTCCATTATGCGTTCTTCAACAAAGAAAAATGTATGATTCTACTCATAGAACACCTTACGCATGATAAACTGTCGAATATATTGCAA